CCGTGAATGAGGAATCATAACAAAGATCAGACTAAAATTCAAAGACAAAAAGGTGGAAAGGGTGCCATCACACAGGAGCTGGTGGGATAGCTAAGACATGCAGAGACAGAAGACAGACAGAAAGGAATGGGCAGCACCTGGCTCCAGCTCCAGCCAGTAGCCCGAGCCATGGCTCCCTGTCAGGGAGATGTGGGGTTTTTCGTTCTTGTTTTCTGTTTTTGCTTTCCCTTTGGGAGGCCCACCACCCAGTTCCCAAGTAAACACACACGGAGGCTAATTCATACTTATAAATTCCTGGCCTTAGCTTGGCTTGTTTCCTGCCAGCTTTTTTTAACTTAAATTATCCTGTCTATCTTAGGCCTTGGGGCTTTTATCTTTCTCTATTCCTGTATACTCCATGTTTGGCTGTGTAGCGGGGTTACTGGCCCTTGAAGTCCTCCTCCCCTTGTTCTATCTAGTTCTTCCAGATTTCTCCTTCTGTTTATACTCTCCGCCTGTCATTGGCCATGCAGCTCTTTATTAGAGCCAGCAGGTGTTTTAGGCAGGCAAAGAGACACAGCTTCACAAAGTTAAACAAATGCAGCATAAATAAAGGTCATATACGTTAAAATAATATCCCCCAGCAGGGAAGAGACAGAAGACTTATGTCAAAAAAAAAAAAAGTCTAGGTAGCCCAATGAAAGGGTTGGCAGTCCTACCCAAAGGATAAGACCAAAATTCTTGAAAGTTTTAAATCCAGTTTGAGGATTTCTTGGATCAGGGGCCTCTCTTGAGTGAAAAGTCAGCATTTGAGGAAGGTCTATGTTGTCATTCTCCGTGAATCACAGGGTTATGGCTGGGCAACATTTTGAGAACCTATTGCTTAAGTCTGAGCTACACTCGGAGCCTCCCAACAAGAGACCACAATTCAGAGAAGTGGGGACAATGTGTCACAACTCCAGAGTGAGGGACAGCTGAAGAGGAGTCCCTAAGAGAGGGATGCCAAGACATTCAGAAAGAAGTAGGTGAATGTCAACAGTGAAAGGTAGAAGCTCATTAGTCCCACTGTTGGTAGCTAGGAGTTGAACTCATCACTGTGGAGCCTCACTAAACTCATTATGAGGTCAGTGTTGGACACTGAAGCCAACAGTCTTCCATGATTTTGGGGGCTAATGGGTAGACCTCTGGAACTCCAGCAGGATCTCCGACTTCCACAGCCTAATCTCTACAGCAAGGACTCTAATGTTGATTGGGGTTTGAAATCACAGAGACTGATCCTACTGTGTAGATCTCAGTGCTACACTGGTAATCTCTGGAAATGGAAGGGTGACAGAATATGCCTCATCCACATGCTGCAAATTAAGTGTGGCCAGCAGCTGAGGAGAGGGCACCTGAACTGGCCCTATCCTATAGCCACACTGATCAAAATCTTGCATATCACCATAAAACCCTCATCTGGCAATGGATGGAAATAGAGACAGAGACCCACATTGGAGCACTGGACTGAGCTCCCAAGGTCCTTATGAGGAGCAGAAGGAAAGGGAACATGAGCAAGGAAGTCAGGACCATGAGGGGTGCACCCACCCACTGTGATGGTGGGGCTGATCTAATGGGAACTCACCAAGGCCAGCTGGACTAGGACTGAACGAGCATGTGATCAAACCGGACTCTCTGAACGTGGCTGACAAGGAGGGCTGACTGAGAAGCCAAGGACAATGGCACTGGGTTTTGATTCTACTGCAAGTCCTGGCTTTGGGAGAACCTAGTCTGTTTGGATATTCACCTTCCTAGAACTGGATGGGGGGGGGGGGTTCCTTGGACTTCCCACAGGGTAGGGAACCCTGACTGCTCTTTGGACTGGAGGGGGAGGGGGAATGAAGGGAAGGGGAGGGAAATGGGAGGAGGGGAGGAGGTGAAAATTTTTAATAATAAAAAAACCTGAAAAAAATAAACCTTCATTAAACATGTAAAAAATAAATAACTAAATAAAGTTCACAAAGACTTTATCAAGTAACATGAAGGAAAATGTGCTGTTGCTTTTGTATTTTCTACAGCCCTGAAAAGATACAGAATAACAAGAGACTAACATGAGAAACCTTTAGCTGAAGTAGGTCAGTTCCTAAACTGCATCAGAAAGATTCCCCACATCAACAAACACACAAGCCTAAACAGAGATGGGTAGAATGTTGCTGTAAGATCAGGGGACAGCAAGAGCGGCAGGTACACGCCGAGCTCTACTGGGTTCCGTCTTGTAAGGAACTGTCCCTGGGAGAATTGTTCCTTGGAAATGCTCACAACAACCCTCTTCTAGAAATCAGCAGAGAGAGTAATTATCAGAAATATCTCTCCCCCGAGAGGAGCACATCCCCTCCCATCCCCCACTGACACCACAGTCTCTAAAAGGTTCAGTACGTTTGCTTCCTTTGTTGTTTGAAGAACAAATCCTTGAGTCTTTATTCACTAAGCCCTGGTGCTGTTTCTGACCTGCTATTTTAGAATATGGAACAACATTTCCCATGAGAGTCCTTTCAATTTCCTCTTTGTTTTGTGTTCATTTGGTGCCCGGACTAGAGAGGTAGTACACAGCCAAGGATACTGCCAGGAAGAAAACAATCCCTGTGAGCTGGGGAATGAAATCCCTAGTTTGTGTGTTGGTTTTTTTACTTTCATGCGACACTTAGCTACCTTCCAAGACAGCATAGTTAAAGAAGCGTTTTTGGTCTCTCTAACACCAGGGTGGATGGAGTAAGGCGACATGTAAGAACTTAAAAAGAGAAAGGCAAAGGATGTAGCTCATTGCTAGAACTGTTTGATACCATGCTTGGGGACCTGAGTTTTATCCCCCAGTATCACAATAATAAGTAAATAATAGAAACTTTTACATGGAGGAATAGGGTTATCTTGGCTTTTCAGTTTATTTCAATTTCACACTTACTGAGTACAAAGGATTTTAAGTTCTGAGCTTTAATTAGGAAAATAAAGTTAATTTAATAATAGTTTTCATAAAAAAAAGCAAGGGCCAGACAGTTATGTGAAGTTCTCCTGGGATAAAATGAACAAATTCACGCTCCCGCAGCTACTCACCCCCACTAGAGCAACAGTGACATATCATTGTTATCAAAATAGCAATCCCGTGGATGTTCAACATGGCAAATCAGTGGCCTCATCGTGTGTTCTTACAGATCCAGGATGGGGTGCTTCTACAGGGTGGAGGACTCCCCAACACCTACATCACCGCAAAGCTTCACTGCAGCCTGATGGCAGCTTCCCTGTTCCTTCAGTTAACCTTGCGTACGTCATGTAGTCTAGCACCTCCCCGGACCACAAGACCACGTGAAGCTTGGACAGAGTTACACACAGCTGGGAAAAGTGGCTGGAATCTCAGGGGAGAGTCCATGTCCCTGCCCCCACCCCTTCCTCCGTGAGGGAACATCAACAGGTTATATCTTGAGGATGTAAGTAGTCATAGCTGCTCTGATGAAGATGGCAACAGCTGCTATGAATAGATGATTGCATGCAATATAGACATAGCTAGTGTTTCTATTTTATTGTATTTACCATATCTCCAAAGTTCCATATTGGTATCTGCCAGAATGTAGCTCTACACTACACCACACTGTAATCCTTAAGTTCTGTCTCCAGAATCACACAGTTTCCACAGAGAGGAGACTGTAAAATATCGAATTCTTTCCACAGGAAAAAGATCTACCTAGCAGTAATTATCTGTCATTTAAAAGTCTTGAATAAAAAATAAAAATAAATCTTATAGAAGGCCCACAAGTCCTTTTCTTCTTGGTTTATTATAGTTTCAAGATTTAGAGAGGTTTCTCACAAACCAAAGCTGAAATATCAGAATAGTTTATGAGGGTTCTTCTGCTCATACTAAAGAGAGAGAGAGAGATGGCAAAAGAACACAGGTTAGGATTGGTAACCCAGAGGAAGAAGAGAGCAGCAAGCATGGACACTTAGTCATGTGGGATCACATATTAATACTCTTTGGTTCTGCGGACAAAACCTTACTGTGTAGCTCAGGATGACCTGAAACTCTTGGTCCCCCTGCATCAGTCTCCCAGGGGCTGGGATTATGGGCATGGGGCACCATACTTGGCTCTATAACCAGCTCTTGATGCTCAGCATCTGTTCATATTCCCTGCCGTTTGAGGTCTGTTTGGCGATACTGGAAAAAATATAGTTACCCATGTGGTCAGAAATCCAATGTCCTCAAACACTCCTTTCTTGAGCTTTGCACAAAAGATCCAACCAGACCCCCTACCCCCAGATTTCTCATGAGAGATACACAGATGAGAACTCTGGCCTGTCTCAGGTTAGGTGCATGCTTCCCAGCACTGCACCACACAGGCACCGCATACCTGAGAAAGTTAACACTCTGGCTGGAAGATGCTAGTCCGGCCGTGCAGGTATTCATGATGAGTTACAAACATGCCTTCTGCGCTCCACACTATTAAGTCCTTCTGAGTGGAAGCCCGAATAACAGCAGAGGCTGCTGCTTCTTCTTGGCAGCGTTTACTGCACAAATGAGTTGAGAAAATGCACAGCGCTCTAGTGCCCATGGAAACCTGTGACCCATTGGGACTCGTATTTTACTCTTTGGTGCAGCTTCTGAAGGAATGTCTGTGGCCAGCACAGAAATAGTGATGTATGAGGTGTAGTTCGGTGACAAACACTTGCCTATGCATGTTTAATCTCCACCAAAAAGAAAAATTTCAAAAGATCTTCAAATCAGTCCCGGTTAGATCAGGCTAGAAAACTACAAAGAGGGACTATTTGGATTATTGTTATTGTTGTTGTTGTTCTTTAAGAGAAGTTTGCAAACTATATCTAATGCCATAGTCTAAAGAAAAATATAGAAGTAGACAAGCTGGGCCCTTGAGTGGCCCAGGGGAAGAAGCCTCGCATCACGTGTTACTTTTAAATTACAGGACAATTGGGGCAGACACACATCACAGCTGCTCCTCCAACTGCAGTCTCCCCCACAGACAGAAGTGGATTCTCCTACTTACATCAAAGGGAGCTGAACTCGACCCAGCGTTCTGATTACATGGTTCCCTGAAGCAGTCACTAAAAGGGAGCAGAAGGCCCATGGCGATGATCCGCGAGCAGAATTTCTCGGCTTCTTCCGGAGGCCCGTTCTCCTGCTGGCTGAAGAGCTTCTCCAACAGAGTCCGCCCTGCGTAGGAAACACAGTCATTAGAGGGGGGCTGGCAGATCACCTGGCTCAGAACTCTCCAGAGAGAGGACAGTAAACATTACCAGTGAGCAACAGTCTCCAAGGCTCCTTGTGTGAAGAAGGGATCCTAATGAAGAAAGCTGCAGGATGAAGACAGACACCACCTACGAAAAGGCACAGGGATGTGCTCTCCCAGGTTCCCAAACACCGCCTGCCTCAAAAGAGAGTAGTCTCTGTTACACACTATACATTCTCCACCTAAAAGGAACCTCCACCCTTCTGGGATTTAATTAGGCAATGCTCCTTTTTTTTCTTTCTTTCTTTTTTTTCTTGTTGATTCTCCAGGGGATTCTATGAAGAAGTGAGTACCCCCAAACTGTCACCCGTCGGGCCTAGATGTGTCGGAGACTGACATTCACTGTCTCACACCCAGTACTAGGGGAAGGCAGAGAGCGAGGTGCAGACACAGGCATCAGTCCCTAAAAGAAGCACGAAAGTTGGCCAGGAAACACAAGTCATCCTGAAGAGGAAACAGAGAGATGTTTGCAGTTGCTCCGTAGAGACAACTACGTGTGGGGTCAGTGGTTAGGACAGCTGGCTGCTCTTACAGAGGACCCTGGTTCTGTGCCCAGAATCCACACGGTGGCTCACAACCACCCATGGCTCCAGTTCCGGGGAATCATCTTCTGGCCTCTGCAGGCACTGCGTACATGTGATACACAAACATACATGCAGGCAAAACACCTGTGTACATAAATTAAATGATAAAATTAAAAGTCTAAAGAATGTTTAAAATAGGAAACAGTTCTATAGAAGGTATACATTTAAATATTTTATTATTTTTTCAGAGAAGAAGAGCACCATTGAGGAGGGGGGGAAACAGCAGAAAGGGAAGGTTCTAGAGGCATCAAGACAGGCAAATGGCAAGACAGACAGAATAAAAGTCTGTGAGCTGCTGAGAAATAAAGTAGACATCTATAACATTGACCCTCCCTGCAAGGCTCAGGGAACGTCAAGGAAGATGGGCAGAAAGACTCTTAAAGAGTCAGAGCGTTAGAGGACTGGAGTGATCCAGCGTCACCTAGGCATGACAGTAAGGGCCTGCTATATTCAAAAACTCTCAGCAGCTATGGTTGCCTGCATAACATCAAGCCAGTCAACGTTCTGGCATGGGTGGGGAGACGCACATAAGCCCCGACCCAGGAGCCGTCATTCATGGATGCCTGCTAAGTGGGGACAGGCTAAGTTTCTGCTAGGGATGTAGGTCCCTGGAAGATTGACCACACTCATATGAGGTCATCAGTTCTCAAAGAAAGCTAAAACTAAAAATTATTAAAAGATTGACAATTGAGAGAACCAGTGGCAGAGAGAGACTGGAAACCCAAAGACCATAGCTTACATATAACCAAACAGCGTAAAAAGAAGAAAGCTAGAGAAGGTGGGTTCTGTGTAAATGATCTAGAAAGAATGGATATTTTCTTGGTTCAGGGCCTTGGATCCCAGAGTTTCTCTAGCTTTCTTGCCCACTTACTCTCTTGAGTGCCTTCCCTTCTCTGCCTTAATAAACCACATCTATTTCTGTTACTTTCCATATTCCCCTGGCCCTGCTCTTTCTTCTAGAACACAAATTTCTGAAAATCTTCATGTGCACCCTCCAAACTCTGACCGATGCCTATAATACAGTAAAATACTAGCAACAGAGTCTAAAAGACTGGGTCCTTCTGGTCCAGGCCTCAACCTTCCCTGTGCCTTAGAATCACCCTGGAAGAAGAAAGTGATGGGCACCCTGGGCACCAGTACTCCATTGGTCACTGTTTGATTCTAAAGATAGACAGGCATGAGAGTCAAGGATTCAATCCTTAGTCATTTTTAGCTAATACCTGGAGTTGGAGTTCTGGTGAGCTGGCTAAATTTCTGTCCTCCCCCAGTCTCACGTATTATTGAGAACAGGCTGCAGGTCAAGAAGAAGTTCCTCTTCAGGCGGACTAGAAACTGGCTAGACAGAAGACAGCAGCATCACTAGCTGCCAGACCACCTCAAACGTCAGCATGCTTCCATATGTGTGCTAAATGGCCCATCCTCTAGGGTCATGACAGGTGACAACTGCCATGGCAGTGACTAGAAATATTATAAAAGGAAAGAAAAGAACTGTCACTCTAATTCCTAGGAAACCTCTGACAAGACCCATATAAGACGTGACTCTCTTTATTCGCCTATGCCTGTCCCTCACTTCTTTTCTACCTTAAAGAAAACCTCTTCCTCCCAAGGGCTGAGAAGCTAATTTGCAACTTTATCTCTCATTTCTAATTGTGGCCCAAAGTAAAAGGCTCCCTAGCTGTCCAGTAGGTACTTGATCTTGTTACAGATTCCACAATTCTAGGAAATAAAAAGGATCCAGGTTCAGGTCAAAAACTAACAAAAACTACTAACACTTAATTAAGTGTTCTAAGTAACACCGACACCTAGAAATTCAGAAACTTGTGTAAGATTTGTCTATATCTACAAACCATAGCAGAAAAAAAAAAACTCTTCCAGATCTCGTCCAAGTCACAGCTCTCCTCAGTTCTTGAGTCCTGTCGCCTGTCCCTCAAGAAATCATCTTTCAACTTTAACTCAAATTCAATCATTCTAAAAAAACCTTCTGTGAGTCCCTTTCAGACCATTGAAGATCCCTCTATAAACTCATGAAATTGACCATTTTACTTGAATGATTGTGAAATCTTTTTTTTAAAAAATATCTATTCCAAGTCATACATTTCATGAGAGCACCACATAACCTGTAAACCTGCTAACTTGAAGGGGGAGAAAGTAAATACTTGGAGAATGCCTAGAAGATTATTATGCTATTCAATAATACACATGTATTTATATTCTAGTCAGAATATGAAAAGAAATCTAACAAACACACACATGCACACACACGCACACACACTTTCTTTTGCCCATCTGCCCTACTATAATTCTTTAAGACCCCACCTCTCTATTGGTTGGCATTCTACATTTGAAAGAGAAGCCTCAAATTAATAATACAGATGCTAGCTGCTACATGGTCTTTCTTTAGAATCCACACCACCTGCTGACCTCTGCGGTACTCATACTCATTCCTTTCTAACAGTCTGTGGTTTAACAATATATATTATGCCATGGCCTAATAGTGTGGAACAATTGTCCATATTCTGTCAATTAGGTTTTAAATAAACGCTGATTGGCCAGTAGCCAGGCAGGAAGTATAGGTGGGACAACCAGATAGGAAGTAGAGGTGGGTCAATGAGAACAGGAGAATTCTGGGAAGCAGGAAGCGCCCTCTGCAGTTGTGAGCCCAGACACAGAAGAAGGAAGGTGTGACCTGCCCCAATGAAAAAGGTACTGAGCCATGTGGCTAACATATACTATAATAATGGGCTAATATAAGCTATAAGAGTTAATAAGAAGCCTGAGCTAATGGTCCAATCACTTTATAAATAATGTAGACTTCTGTGTGATTTCTTTGGGACTTAACGAATGAGGGAACTAGGCAAGACAGAAACCCAACAACAGCTTAGCACAGAACACACATTTGTTTTTTCAGAACACACATTTTAATTTGAAGAAGATAAGTATTTCTGAAAAGAAAGTGCAAAGTGAGAGCTGAGTGGAGGTGGATGCCCTTTGTAGGCTTCTCACAAAGACAGGGTTCTACCTAGAAAGAGCACCATGGACCACCCAACCCCACCCCTGCAATCCCTCTAGCTCCTGGACAATGACACACAGGGGTCCACTGAGAAAGACCTCCATTCCTTCCAGCTCCTGGACACCAACCCCCTCTCAAGACACACAGGGGCCCAACCAAGAAAGAACCCCCCAGTCCTTTCAGCTCCTTGATACTATCCCTTCCCAAGATGCACAGGGGATAACCAAGAAATCAGCTCCTAACACTGCATCTCTCCCAAAATGTGCAGGGGACCATGGAGAAAGATACCCCCACACACCCTTCTGCCCCCTCTCCTATGAACTGCAGCATAGAGTAGATGCCTTTCTTCTTCCCAAATCTTCTTTCTGAATAAAGTCACCACTGTTGCATCTCAACACTGCCTCTCAACTTCACTCACTGGCTCATTTTGAGTCTACCTTAGTTCCAGAAATAATGTCAATCCCATTAGAGTAGCTAGTTAGACATTAAGGGCCTTAGAGATCACCAAAGATGAACTTTTCTCTGTTAATTTTCTGCTTTTAAAACCAAAAAATAAAATACAGGATTCTGATTACTGGTCAAATGAATAGGGTCTCACTAATACCTCTGACTTTGGGTATAAATATAATATTATCAACTGTATATCATCAGTTGATAAGTATCTACCTTACAATATCACTTTCTAACCCAGGGCTTTCTGGCACTCTCCTCTCGCTAGGAAACAATCCAAATAGTCCTGTCGATCACCTGTACAGGAAAACACCCCTTAGGAAAAGCTACCTGTTTTGGGGCATTAGAACTAGCACACACCAAAATGAGGCATGGTGGCATATGTCTATAATCCCAACAGTTGAGAAGTAGATGTAGGAGATTCAGACATCAGGGCTATCCTTGGTTCAAAGCAAGCTCAAGGCTAACCTTGTCTACATGAGACCATGCCTTAAAAGAAAGGACATAAGGGTACATGAAGGAAAGAACAGGACAATAATATGAAAATTACCAAAATGCTGATTAACACAGTGGTCGCTTTGGCCACTCGCTGAGAGTGCTACACCATTTTCTGAAGTAAAGACTTCTTCACTGTGCTTCATGGGTCACATATGAATTCTTTCAACAATGATCAAAGGATCAGGGAGCCAAGAAAACTCCTGAGAGAGAGCGCAGCAACATGGCTGCACCATTCAATTCTTTCTACAAAGGACCAAATAGTCAATGTCTGTGGCTTTGGGGGCCACAAAGGTCATATATTCTTACCTGTCTAGATTGTTGTAAAATGCCTTTGAAAATACATCATCTATTCTTAGCTCAGAGTTTTACAGCAGCAGACTCC